TCACCTTCAAGGCCAGGTAAGACCTGGGATGTTTTTTTCTGAGCTAAATGTGAAACTGAGGAATTCCTAAGAATTCTGCTTCCAGCTTCTAAAACCACATTATTGTTTCTCCTTGTTAATCTCCCATTCTTTGTTTCATCCCCTGTAGTTAATGCCGTTCTTAGAAACTCAGGAGCTTCCCCAGAGCCCAGGGACATACAGCACAGGCCTGAGTGAGCATCAAGTCCTAGTCTTTCTCACTCTGCTTCACGTTGCTGAGGGCTCTACAAAAGATTCCTTCCAAGGTGGTCTGACACATTAATAATGAGAATTAGTCCCATTAAATGAACATTCCCAGTAAAGTGTTTCTCAGTGAAACTTGGCCTGTACTGCAATGGAGGGGTTAATCCAGTCTTAGACCATTGGTTCTCGACTGTTAACCATTCCATCCTCACTCTACCCCCTCCCCATCCACAGGGGACATTTGGCAATGTCTAGAGACATTTTTGGTTGTCACAGTTGGGGGCTGAGGGAGTTGCTTCTGGTATCTAGTAGGCAGAGACCAGTTGTCCCATGCTATATAAGAGAGGCCCCTTTACGAAAAGGGCCAGATAATAGGGAAATTCCATTGACTGTTTCTGGTCAAAAATATTTTTGGAAAATATCCTTTGAAAAACACACAGACAGATGAGTCACCTCTATTTCAGATAATCCAAGTAGAAGTAGGAGATTCTGGAAGGGACAATGAAGTCCTAGAGGGATGGTGAAAAGCCCAACTCTGGGCCCACAGTGAGATGCTTGAAGGACATAACTTGCCTTGCTAAATCAGGTCAACCCCCAAACACAGCTCACCATGAAAAAGAAAAGGGAAGGTGGGATCTCCTTTGCTGTAGGACACTTTATTCCCACTTTCTGAGCTTTTACTGCTTAATGAAAGCAGCCTGTACCATTAGGATGGACATATACCAATAAAGGGGCAAGAGATCTTGTATGTTAGTAATCAAGCTGAGGAAAATGACATTTTAGCCATGCGGAAATACTACAGGGAAAGCAGTAACTCAGAGAAGTTGACAGGAATGGGTTAGGTGGTGTGGACAGATGCTGAGTTTATAAACACTGCCAAAGCATGCTGCCACTGACAGGGGGCAAGTGCTTGCATAGGGGGCAAGTGCTTGCATGGTGCCCATAGGCGAAAGGGTGAAAATCTAGATAACCTCAACCCTGAATATAAGCCCCCATTCATTCATCAAAATAGTTATCAACAAGGTAGGTCAGTTGCTTTCCCTGGAAATCTTTAGAAATATGAAAGATGACTCTTGATCAAGTAGTTTGGAGGGTGGTCCTGAGAAAAGACAAGGGAATAGTTCCCATAATCTACAGGGAATTCTTCTCACCAGAGGGTTTGGCAAGACTACCATGAGTTTAGAATAACAAAGTTCACACTGAAAATTCATTTTATTATGTTTTGATTTCACAGAAAATGTAGACTTGTAAATAACAATAGCTCTTTACAATCTGCGTGACACTTTTATTAGTTTGTGGAAGTGGGAGGTTTGGTTATACAAGAATCCACGTGAATATCAGGGAGAAAAAAAAAGTCAGGGCTGGAACAACTATGATTTGCAAAAATAATGATCATGTTGGGCTTTGCAAATCATTTGTCACCTTGCTGATCCCCAGAAAAATGTAAAGAATATACTCATGGATGACTGCAAATTTTCTCTGCTAGGTGAGGAGGAGGTCAAAATGAGCACATCAGAGCTGTCAGCTCACACCACAGATTGCTTTTCAGCTCAGCACAGGCCTGACAAAGGCTGTTTACCAGCTTTGGAACCACCAAGGTCTATTTATTGAGTATAATTCTTACTCTTAAGATAAAGAACTCAAGTCAGAGGATAGTAAATAGACCAAAAAGAAGGTTCTGGTCCACTGGATGTTTTTTTGTGTCTTTGAGATCAGGCAAGAGGGGAGCTGAATGAGACAACATCAGCCTCCAGCCAGTCTATAATAACTGAGAAGTAATAACAAGATCCTGGCCTGAAAAAGCCATCCAGCGAGCGCATGCACAGTCATGTTGCCACTTCTGAGACAGCCTGCTGTAGGTTTCCTGGAGCTCATGGCGAGGTTCCTCACTCAACTATTGTGGCCTAGAAAGAGCCAATGCGAAACTAGATTTTATGACTTTAAAGCTACCTTTTTAAGAAATGAGATATTGTTTCCCCCCTAGCCTTATAATTCTAATCAATATAATTAATTCTTATCAATTCTAATCCCCCCTTGATAATTCTAATCAAAAGGAATATAGTTGTCACAGTTTCAAAACACCTCTTGAAATTAATGTTGATCACCTTGAACAGAGCTCCAGGGCTGGTCTGGAGGATGTGAGTCGTGGCCTGGGGCTGACTGAGCCTCAGGATGGAGGTGCTGGGCTGCTAGGTAGGGAGGCAACAGCAGGAACAGGGGCAGGATGACCAGTAAGAGAAAAAATACCACTGCCTATGAGCATAGGCCTTAGTGGGTCACTTGGCAAAAGCTACCTGGCTCTTTTCCTCTCCTGTACCCTCCTGTCATCTGGCCCCACTTAGACTGAACTGCCATTTGACGGGTCCTTCTTCAGGTATCTATTTCAATCTGGTGACACCAGATAAGGGAAAGCAGAGTTAGTGTTGTGGAGAGCCCTGCCCCTCTGCCTCTTCCATAAGGAACTCTCCAGGCTCCGAAGGCAGAAGCTGGAGCTACCTGTGAACACAGCGCTTGCCACCTTTTGCTTAAGCCATCTGAGGGAATAAATTGGCCTTGTAAGGCAGGGCATTGACTTTATGACCATAGGAGCCACCCAGGATGATGTACATAGAACTAATCTTGACAAAGTGTATTCTGAGAATACAGAGAAACACCAGTCAGCACCACAAAGAGTGAGCGGCAGATCTGTGGAAGAACTCAACTCACATGCTAAGCCTCAGGAGCAGATTGTCTTCATTAGAGAAAACTCCAGTGAACTAGTCAAGATCTCTTGTGGAAATTACTCAGATGTTGCAGAAATTAATGGGCATTATGTTGAGCCTTTAAGACTTGTGCTTATTGGGAGAGATTTTGTAAGAGAATTTGACCTGAAAGTATTTTCCTATTATTTTGTTGTGAATAATTTATGCCACACATTCCCTTAAAACCTTCAGATAATCATGAATTTAGTGTATATCAGAACCTTGGAACACTGGTGCTGCACCAGCTCTACTGGTGCTCTACTACCTAAATAAGTTTGAAAGTATCTTCACAATCTAAAAAATTTCTTTTAAATAGAATTTTTTTTCTTGCTCTCATAATATGCCCTCCTCAGGGAGGACTCATTGCCACTTGCTACCATCTCCCTTACATTCTAGGACAATTTATGTAGGTTTCTAGGTGGGATTTTATAGGTTTCTAGACAATTTATGTAGGTTTCTTTTGCTACTTATCAGGAGGAATGCATTTCAGTTTAAAAAGAAAAACAGATCTAAACATTTTGGGGTAGGGAAGCAGTGAACATCCCATTGGAAGCTACAGTTTCATGGAATCCAGAGTTAATTCAGAAAGAAGCTAATTTTATTGAACGTATAAAGTGTTTAAATTTCAGTAATACTCTCAATGCAGTCCTACTTTCAAGGCAATGCTGATATTTATATAGATCCCTTTACTTCTTTTGGTTTCTTCACTCTGAGGGGAAGTGAGTTGTCATCTGAGATTCTTCTCCATTCTAAATATATCCATGGATTTATGATTTCACAGTTCATCTAGTAGAAAAATGGGCTGATGGCTTTGGGATCCCCATGAAAGAACCACAGAGGCACCCACACCCCACTGCTGTGTTAACTGCCCTTGGCCTGGCCTTCTGCACACTGAGCTCAGAGCAGCTACTACCCTGCTATTCCTACCCTCTGAATCCACACAATAAAAAGAAGAAAAATCCACTTTGGAAAAATTAACCAACTAAGTTGGGGGTTTGGGAGAAAGGAGAAGTGAATGAATGCAGTAGTTTCTTAGAGGGGAGGGAGGCAAATATCAATTATAACTAAGTACTTCAGGGGATTGTTTTCCATGAGCATCAGTCTAAATGACCCAAAGCAAAGATAGCAGAAATGCAGTCAAACTACTAAAGAATAAGTAAAGAACAAAAAACTTGACACCAAATCATATAATGAATCATCCCATTAGTTAATATGGCTCTGTAAAAAATCATATTTAGAACCAGAACCAAATGAATAAGGTGATAAGAAGTAGCTTTGTAGATTTCACCATTCTTTCATGTAATATTAAAAAAATGGAGCAGGCAGCTTCTTAATTTTTCCTGAATGTCATCTTTTGGCTGATGGCAGAAACCAACCACTTTCCATGTTGATGTTCCCATAATTACAGTTGGGACCCTTAAGTATAGTCTCCAAGTTACGATTTGTTTGCAATGTAATATAGTAGGGTTACCAACTTTACCAGCAAGGATATGTGTCATTCGCTTTAGGCTACGGTATCATGTCATCTTGTAAGCATTAAATAAACACAATTAAAAATGACAGGTCTTTAAAATGTGCCTAAAGGGTGACTGGTACTGCCCAGTGCTTCTCAGTGCATGTGGCCGACTTCTCTTGGGCATCAGGGTATGGTAAAGGCTGTCCCGGGCACAACTGATCTCTGGAAACTTCTCTGTCAGCATTTTATTTCACTGGTCTTGTCATCCCAAAAGTTTTCCTCCTTAGTGTTGTTTCAGTTACAAAATTCCATGGGTCACATGCGGAAGACGTGTTAGGAATTATCCCTCTTTTTTTCTTTATCCATAAAAACACATTTTCTGATATCCCAGTAACTGAATTATTTTCTACCATACTCACCCAATAGTTGTAGAATACTGTGATATTTTTCGTCTTCCTTAAATTTCCTTCAGGTCCTAGTGAAAAGGAAGTCTTGTTGCTTAAAGATTCTTTATACTGAGGGGACAGTGAAGCAAAAAACCATTTTGAAGGCTACTGCAAAGATCCAAAATGATACTGAACCAAAGGACACACATTCCCATTTTATTACATCAAAATTTAATATGGCAACAAATGCATTGAAAAAATATGCATCTTAAATGTGAAGTTTATTGAAGCTGTTTTTCTCTAAGCAATTACCAATTAGCTATGAGATGGTGGCTGTGGACATCATTCGATCAGACAAAAAGCCTTGCTTGGTCTTTTTAACAATTAAAGTTAATCTGGTGACAGTTGATTCTGCATTATTTATGCCCCAGAGGGAAGTATGGGATTCCTTAACTGTGAGCATTTGTTGGAGGACACAGAGAAAACTCCTTTGAGATGTTCTTTTTTTGTTGTTGTTGTTTATTTTTTTCCTCCCCGGCCAATTGCTCTAGAAAGTGAAAAAGTCTGTGTGACAGTGGTCTGGATCCATTGCCCTCCCTCTCTAACAGCCTGTCATGCTATTTCAAAAGAGAACTCCAAGGACGAAGGGGCTTCTGCTGAGACAAAGGCCACATGCCTTCAGAAATATCCCCCCAGAGGGAACCCAGAGGTCCAGTGTCTGCAGATCCAATGGTGTCCTTGCAGGAGGGAAGGTGGACGGTGATCTGCTGGAGTCATGTAGGGGTTGTCCAGTCGGCATTCTTGGGGGCCTTGCATGTGTGCACGTCCAGGGCCTCCAGGCAGTCCTGACAGTGCACGGCACAGCACCAGTGGAATTTACACTCACACTTGGTCATCCGGGTGATGCGGGAGGTGTCGTAACCTCTACCGCAGCACATGACTTCACAGCTGTCCATGCCTCGGGAAGTCAGGTTGCACACACGGCCTGCTGTACCCAGGGAGCCTGGAAGACAAGCCAGTGAGGGGTCACTGAAAAGATCAGGGTAAATACAGTACGTCTCAGGAGGAAAAGAGTCAGAAGATTCATCCTCCAGGACAGCCCAGCCTCCTTGACACAGCCTGGGCTGTGACACCCCTCCGAGGGTCCAGCTGCATGCACTCTCTGCATGGTGCAGGGAGCTGAGAGGGCTAAGAGAGCAGAGTCCAGGAAGGAGGGACATGAAACTTCAGATTTGCCTGAGGTAACCTGGATCCAGCTCTCCTGCTTCTGATTTGAATCAGCTTTTTAGATTGTCTTTACCCAGCCCCAGATTGAAGGATCCTTTAATGGGGAAGGATAGATCAAAATGAAAGATTTACCCTGGTTCCCTCCATCTCAGCTTAACACCATATTAATGAAGCAGTAGCCAAGGTTACCACTCTCCAAATTGTGGGGTGAGGAACCCTCAAAGAAAGGAACCTGCTTCCATTAGCTCATTAAAAAGGTACCATAACTCCACTACTGGTGGAGAGAGGTGGTGTCATTTGTGTGAGGCTTTGAGGGTGGGGAGGGTAGTCGTTATGGCTGAAATCTAAAATGGCTTCCAAAGCCTCATGGGCTCGGAAAGTGACTGCACTGTGGAGGCATAATAGCTGACTTGCTGTTAGAGGTCTGGTTGGAAGACACAGAACACTGGGGTCATGACCTGGAAGGGCGTATCTCCATTCTTGGCCTCTCCCTTTATTCTCTGCTTCCTGGCTACCATGATGTGAGCAGCTTTCATCTGCCAGACTCTTCCACTATGCCTTCCTGTCTTGGAGCCAGCCAACTATGGACTAAATGAGTGGGCCACAATAAACTTCTCCTTTAAGTTGTGATGAGAAAGTGACCGAGACAGCATCCTGGCCTGGCTTATCAATAACTCCCTCTGCCCCTGCAGTTCAGCAGGCCACAGAAATGCATGAAGGTCCCTGACTGAGCCCAGCATTTCAGGTCTTCAGGAAACACAACTGGTGTAGAAAACCTGTTAGGAACTACTAGTAGGATGTCATCTTAGTTCATCAGAGTAATGTTTGCTAGTAGTAATCCATGTTTATCTATTTGTTTTCTGAAAAAGAATTTCAGAGAGGAAATTTCTTTAATTTGCACACTTCTGGGGAAACTTCTGAAATTCTTTTACAAGAGCATCATTATCAGACAGCAGAACCAAGTGAAATGGGCATTCTGGGGAGAGTTTCTTGAACTTACAATGGTTATTTCTATTTCTTCTTCTTCCATCGAGATGGAAGTCATGGTGTACAACAGTAGCTTGCTCACTAGCAACAGATGATTGGACCAGGGGTGGGCACCTGACTTATGCTGAGCCTGGAGAATGGTGGTTCTGACAGACCTAGCCACTATTTCTGTGCATAAATTCTGGCCACAAGCAGCCATGTTCTATGATGGGGACTGTGGACTAATAGAGATTTATGGAGACACAGGAATAAAGTAAACATACAGAGGCAGGGAAGACCAAAGAAGAAAAAGGAATGCCACCCAATGTCAGCCTGTTTTCTGGTTCTTCTTCCATTTTTCCTAGAGGCCTGGTTGCACTCCAACCCTTTGAGTTCCTAGAGACTCTATATCCTAAGAATTTCCCCTTTTTAGCTTAAACTGCTTCCATTTCTATTACTTGTAATCAATAACCCTAAATACTTGACAAACCTAGAGAGGCTAAACTTCTTATTTAATAAAAACAAGTTTTCCAGATGTGGTGGAACATGTCTGTAAGTAATCTCAGCACTCTGAGAGGCTGAAGCAGGAGGATTGTAAGTTCAAGGCCAGTAACTCAGTGAGATCTTGCTCAAAATGAAAAGGGCTGGGGATGTAGCAGTGTGAAGGCCTTGGGTTTAATCTCCAGTATTAAAAAAAAAAGAAAAGGAAAAAAAGAAAAACAAGCTTACATCTGGATGGAAAAGATAGTGACTTATTTATTTTCAACTCCTCCACCACCTAAGAATGTCTCCCTCTTTGGAACTCCTACAGTGCCTTGTGACTCTGTTTATCACAGTCCTCTCTGTGTTAGAGTCATCTGTATAAATGTCATGTTGCCCTGCCTGTCCAGAATGACCAGGGAAGCAGCAAGGTTCAGGCAGGGGATGGGGTCAAGAAAAGCATCGGGTGGGGCAGAGCTTGCTCTGCCTTGTCAGCCATGGAAAGCCGGAAGATAGGCAAAGGAATTTCACGAGGACAGGAAGAATGGCAGCAAGCTGGGGCTGGGTGGAGGGCAGGTCAGCTGGGGGTGGCTCTGAGCCCACATCATGCTGAAGAAGCAAAGGGTTAGAAGAGGCAGCAGCTGGGCCTGGATTTAAGCAACCATCAGGACACTGCTCAGAATCACTGATTGTGCAAAACGTACTTACTGCCAAACGCTGCCTCTTGCAGCACACCCTTTGTTTTATTCAGTAAACATTTAGCGGACGCAAGCAGGGGTAGGATTTTGTGTTGGCTGTTTGTGGTTTTTGTGGGAAGGGAGGGAATAAAATCAATAGGACCTAGTCCCTTTTCTCAGGGGACTCATAATGTGGTAAAGAGCTAAATATGAGGAAGGATACCTTTGTTACTTCCAGATAATTTTTCATTTGCTCAAGTCCTACCGAAAACCACAACAAAGTCATGTGCAATGTACCATGGCAGGCAAAGCTGTAAAACAGGTAGAGTGAAGGTGTTTAGGGTGGGAACAATTCAGGGTTCAACCCTAGAGTTGCTGTGTGTCAACTGTGTGATTGTGGTGTGTTACTCTCGGATCTTGTTAAGCTTCAGTTTCCTTTCATGCAAATAGTTCCTTATTCATGAGGCTTGTGTGAGGAGGGAATGAGATAATGTGTAAAAGGCCCTGTCATGCTAAGTATGCAGTAGATGTTAACCATCCATTCATCTAGCAAGTACCTACTACGTGCTGGGCACAGTTCTGGGAGTTTGGGATTTATCAGAGAATAAAGCAAAGATTCTGTCCTGAGAAGCTGAATGTAAAGGGGCAGGAGGCAAGTATATGATAATAATGATATTTCTTGGTATTAATAATAGAAAATAGGACCAGACAAAGGGTCATCAATTGCATGGTTTTATAGAGAAGGTGGCATTAGGTGCTGGATATGAAGGATCAGTAGAAGATTTGCAGGGAAGGGAAATAATGGTGTGAAAGGCATTCCTGACAAGAGAGTAGTTCCGGGTAGAAATTTCAAGGGCAAGTTCACAAGAGTGCAGATCCAATGTGGCTGACAAATAGGGCACTATTAGGCAAAGACATAGAAAAAAGACTGGAGCAATGGGTTAAAGAGTCTGCATGTCTTGGTAGAATTTAGATTTTAGTCCATGGTGGGTAGTGGACCAGTCTGGGTTTTTTAAAACAAGGAAACATACAGGAATGATAAGTCTGAGAGAGTGGCTTGGGGCCAGAAGGTAAACCTTGAGGCTGCTGGAATAGTCCAGGCAAGAGACAAGGAGTGGAGTCAAAGATACTGGTAGGACCAATACAGGACAGGTTACAGAGGGGAACCACTGCAGCCTAACGGCATACTGAATTATCTTGTGGGTGAAGGTGTCAGGTAGGAAATGATGAAAAATTTCATTTGACTGCACAGCAAGAAGATAACTGGTACTCTTTGATTAGCGTAGTTTCTGTGGATGATACAGACAACATCATGGATTGAAGAGCAAATGGGAGAAGAAGATATTGGGACAGCATGGGGACAGTAGGCCAAGTTTTCAAGAAACCTGATGATGAAGTGGGTTAAAGAGAAACCAATGCAAGGACTGAGAAGGCCAGGCCTGGACCTGGAAGGTGCTCTAGGCCACCAAGGATTTGGTGGTTTGTTAGTAACAACAAATACCAGACACAAGAGTTTGTTTCAGGCTATGTTTTCATTTATACAAAGCACAAAAATAGAAAAAGCTAGTCAATGATATTGAAAGGGTAGTGATTTTTCTTGAGAGTAGAAAGAATGAGCATGAAGGAGGCTTCTAGAATATTTGAACTCTTCAGGTTTTGATCTGGACACAGTTTTATGGCTGTGTTCATTTGGGAAATGGCATTGGGCCGCACACATGCGATGTGTGTGGTTTTTCTGCATGTACAAATACTTCAAGGACAAGTTAAGAAGGTGATGGAGGAGGCCCCATGTTCCAATGCCAGGAAAGCAGCAAATCTCTGTGAGGAGCAGAAAGGTATTCCACGTGAGTGGAACACAGCACGCCAAGGGGGAAAGTGGCAAGAACTGAGGCTGGAGAGGTGAGTAGAAGCTGCAGTGAATGGTTAAGGGGTTTAAACTTTAACCTGAGGGCAAAGGAATTCTACTGAAAATTTTAATACGAAGAGCAATGTGATTTGATTTGTATTTCAGGAGGATAACCAGTGTGCTGGGGCTGAAACCAGCCAGAGTGAGGCAAGGAGACAAGTTAGAGACCCAGACAGTACTCTGGGAAGGATGCTAGGTGGCCTGGATTAAGAAAGTGGCAGCAAGCATGGGAGAGGTTAGTGGAGGAGCGAAGGGCTGGCAGGACGTGGTGAGTGACAGACAAATGAGAAGGGCTCAGGCTTGAGTGACTGTGTAGATGCTGATGATTCCTCAAGGTAGGAAATTCCAGGGAAGGGCAACTTTGAGAAAAGATAACAGTCAATTTCCTGTGTTCAGGGTATGAATGTTCACCCAGGTATGAATGTTTCCTGATAATACACTCTGGGACTCAGGTGAGAAACTGGGATGGAACTGGAGATTTGGAAAGCTTCTTTTAGCAGTGGGTGTGAATGAGCCCCTGGTGGGTATGGAAAGCACTCTCACTTGGTACCCCGGTGGTGACTGAATTTGTATCTTTTTCTGTTTTGTTCATAAGCCCTACACACCAATAAACATTCTTCACTTCGACAGATCTGCATTTATCAAAATATGAATAAATTACCATGCATTAGAATTCTTTATGCCCCCTGGGGCTGTGGGGCTTAGGAGGCTAGGGTAGGGAGGTGAACTGTCTCATAACTGAATCAG